CACCGTAGCTCAGGCGCGCAACAACAATCCCAAGGTGCCGGATCCAGCAGCTTGCGGAACGTCGAGCCCGCGCCTCAGATCCTCGAGCAAAGGGAGGCCGAGCAGCAAGCGCGAGTGCTGGAGGACATGGCCAGCCTTAGCATCCAAAGCCAGCAGCAGTTCCACAACCAACAACAGCAGCAAGGACCAGTGGAGTTGCCCGCCGGTAACGATGGCAGGCGAGGATCAATTACCTACTCCAACCGCAGCGGACAATACGGCGGCTACCAAGGGTACGGCGATGCAGACCAGACGCCCACGCGCCAACGGATCAGCTCCATGTACCCTCAGCAACAACAACCCCCGGCGCACGGTTATGAGTTGGCGGACTTTGATCGCTTCGGCGACAGCGAGCCAAGTGAACTCCCGACTCCGATTTACGATCAGGGATACCAACAACCGGGTCACGGCCAGGACATGTATAACAACAACCAAGTCTATCAAGGCTACCCGCCCCAGGTTTACCAACAGTATCAACAACAACAGCCCACCGCAAGCGGTGCCCCACAAATTCACCTTCCAGCTGTTAATGGCCATCCACAACTCAGCGCTTGGGATGCTGGGTTCTCCTCTGTTCACGACATCAACGACGGAGGCGTAGAAGGCAGACAAGGACAGAGGGGAGGGTTCAGAGTCGTCAATGCCGATCCCATCACCAGCGATGATGACGATGATGGACCTGGGAGTGGGGATGAGAGCTGGAAGAGGGATGCGTACGCTTCGATGAATTTGGCGGGAGCTTTGGGTGGAGGAGATGGGAAGTGAGCGAGCTGTTGTATGCGGATGTTGCATTATGGGATTTGTTTCGGTCTGGAGTACATGGCTGGTTTGACTTGGCTGATTTAAGATTGTTATGCTTGTTGGGTTGCCAGGTTGTCGGGTTGTTGTAAGCGGATATACTATTAGCATTTGGATTCTGATTCTCCCTCATTGTTTAGGTCAACTGAGTGTTTGGATATCTCGTGTAAGGAAGAAGATAAGAAGACAGGGGTTTTCCAGTTTTGCTGGCCAATCGTAAAGTCATTCATCGATGGTGCCGACCGGCTTGTGGTTTCCTGCCAGGCCGGTACATAGGAATGGTCTGTTGGGAAACTCCAGGGGAGCAAGTCATCGCCAACTCAACGAAGCTACACTTATCGAGACTGGAAGGAACGCCGGCTTTCAAGCCGCCCTTCGGCAACGCCTACTCCCCAAATTAACGGGCACACTCGACACACACACCGAAATACCGTGATGATAGAATGCCTTTTATCTAAAGAAGTGAGTCCTTTGCATATCTCTCGCTTGCTCCCTGGACCCACCTGTTGGTTCGCTTGTCGGAAGATAGTGACAATGTCATGGGACAAGGGGATGACCATGATGATGAGGAGCAAGGGTGTTTGGAGGTTTGTTTACTTGCGGAGTTGGAGGGGTGAGGCATGGGTTGGTTCACCACGAGCATGGTGTGGTAGAAATATGTACTTCTACATATACTTGGATAATGAAGAATACTTGAACTCGTCAATGTGAAGATGTTGAGATGGTTTATAAGAAACCAAAGTAAGACACCTGCTGGGGTGAAACGAAACTGAAGAGAAACAATTATGAGGTGGCAGTGCATCAGGTACCTGGGAGTACACACTATCTCAGGGCTGCTGTCACCCAATTTTAGGTACCTGATAGGTCCCCTGATACAGTAGTGTCGCCATAAGACGCCAACCCCGCGTCCACATCATCGAGCATAGTCTCAGCTCTCCTTCACTTCACCATTTCTCCATCGTCTCTACTCATCTTCTCTCATATCCTCGTGTGATTGACAATTGGCAACGAACTCACAAGAAAGACTTTGGTAAAACAAGATGTCGGTTCCCAATCTCATCACCTGCGAGGTCGATGACATCCAGTATTTGCTGCACCCCCAAGTTTTGGTAAGCCCC